AGGCTCTGCCCAATTCCAAGATGTCCTCCAGCCAGTGACAGCAGCCATAGGACCTAGTCCCTAGTACTCACCAGGACTCAATGCAGATCTTCCTTTTGGGTTCACTGCACATTGCACTGGATGTCTTCATTGCATTCCCAGCACAGTGCAGATTGGTCAGAAAACTGCGCGGTGTCCAGCTTTGGAGCCCAGGAGCTTCATGCAGTCTCCTCCAGTGCGACCAGGTGGCTTTGGCTGCTTTGCAGGGCCCCAGGTCTCAATTTCCAGCAGTCGCTGAGAGCCAATATAGCTTTTCCCCTTGGATCCACTGCTCACTGTGCCACATCCTCCCGTTAAGGGTCTGGGATTCACCGACTCCCATTACTGCAGCCACAGTCTCAGCTTAACCTTGGATGGCTGGGCGCACCTAGTACAGCGTGCAAACGGGGCTCACTAAGAACATCAGGCTTCAGCTCTCCATTCATGCTTTTCCTTCCTCTTCCTACTTTTATTTTTCCCTTTGGTTACTGCCTTGGTTAATAAGAATCATCCATTCGTCTGGACCTCTCCATGTTGTCATATTCTAGCATCTGATCTGATTTCTCTGCAAAGACACTGCATCCAGCCTCCTAGCAAGTCACCATTTTTTTCTCTCCCCTGGTAAAGTAACTTTTAAAATCAGAAGCAGGCTTTATATTTCATTCAACTGTAGAACGAAGCTCTTTTAGCATTGTGAAATGCTATATTTAGAAATATTTTTTTCTCAGTGATTCTAACTTTTATAATCTTGAAGGCATTCTTTCATCTGAAGTTTTTCATGGGTTCAGATATTTTGCACGATGTCAGATGTGATCAGCAATAAAGGTGAGAAAGGTAACTCTGATCATAACCCTCTTGTAATCTAAAAACAGTAGGAATTTTCTTTTCTGTACAGGCAGTGATGAAGTTATCTGGGAGTAGCTTCCATCTGAAATGAACTGGTCATCTTTTCATTGATCAGTCAGTATGTCCAGCTAGATCATCATAAGTCTTCTATTTACTTTCCATTTACTTTGATCTGTTCCCAAAATTCAACAAATATTCAGCAGAGGCAAATTGGAGTAAATGCTGACACAGATTTGTGTTTCCCAGGATTTTTCAAAGCACAGATCAGAGCTCCATGACCTTCCATGAAGTGGCCAAGAATAGACATTCTTTGGGGGTTCACTGGAAAATTGGCACAGATGAGTTGGGGAAGCTCCTCTGTTATACAAGAGCACACTCTGTAGTTAGTTTTCTGAGGTTCTTCAGTCGCATTCACATAAAACCCCGCTCCAGTACCAAAGTCCCAGATAATGTCTTCTCCTTTGATGTGGCATCCATGAGGGCTGGCATCTGGAGTGATGACGACAAAGCCGTGTTCTGAGGCAGCTTGATGATAACCAGATTTTCACACAAAATTTCATTCTGTGCAAGTTAAACCAGAGAGTCAATACAGGGCAGGGCACTTTGTAGTTTCTGCCTTTGGTGAAATGTAGTCAGTAAATTTCATTTTACATTTTAGTTACATACTCACATTTGAAAACTTTCTGCAACCCCCAAAAGCACTCATTCCTGGAAATCTGCTTCAATGCCATTCTTCTCCTGTCAAACTGGTATTTGCTTCTCAGTAGGACAGATGACCCTCGGGGTGCTTCATAGTGGCACGTACAGTGATGGTCAGGGAAGGGCAGGGCCAAAATATCTGTCTTTAATTTTACACTGAGGTCTTTCAGCACTTAATTGCAATATTTATTCAAACAAACAAAAAAGCAATCCGTTTCCTGACTTGCTTCTTCAGATTCCCTCATTACTGACACAGCCATTTTACTCTTATATATTTCTTTGTGATATATCTCAAAACATGATGTATTGAAAACCTTATTTTCTACTGTTGTTCTCAATTGACTTCCTTCCATACAGATGAAGACTTCTTTCTGTCCTCTTAATATGTTGACAAGGTCACAAAAAGCTTCAGGAAAGCCTTCTTTCTGTGTACATGCCCCTCTGGACACATGTTCACTCAGTGCTTCTTTATTTTGTTTTATCTTCTGTTTTCTTTTATTTTTTAACTTTTTGCAACAGGGTCTCACTCCATAATTCAGATTGGTCTTAAACTCACTATGTAGCCCAAGCTGGCCTCGAATTCACAGTGATCCTCTTGCCTTACCTCCAGAGTGCTGGGCATGTGCCACTATGAACTGCACAGTTCTGTTCTGAGAGTTGGGTGGTGGGATCCAGGTAATCTGGCATGTTTAATCCTGGTGTCTTCAGTCCGGGTGACACTTCCGTCTCAGACGGAAGATGCATCAATGCTTTAGGATGGCACCCTCTTCTCCCATCCATGTGGTAGTCCAAGATCTCCTCAGCATAGGACTCAGTGAGTTTATGTCAGTCACTCTTCTGAGCCGAATGTGTCTCATGAGGCTGCCATCTACCCAAGTAATGCAGTGGAATATCTTTGAAGTCCCAGAGATGAGAACTTGCTGGGGATTCTAAACTCCAGAACCATACAAACTCAGACAACAGGACGCTTCTCAACATAGCTCCTGGCCATATTGCTCTAGGAGATCACTGGGAAATGCAGCAGATTTCTCTAAAACAAACCTGAAAACCAGGCCTAGGTCTCTTCTGTATTCAGGCTGAGTATCTGTCGGGTACAGGCTTCTGTGCTTAGCTGAGACTCTCATCTTTACCCTCTCAGAGTGGAGACACCCTTCCTGCCCAGCCATGGTTTTGGATGGCAGTTGTGGGTATGTTCTGTTTTTCTTGTAATGCTCCTATCCCTACTCTCTGCATGTCACCAGACCTCTTTCTCTGTTGTTGAATTCCAGTGTACTCTGATGGCCGTGCAGCTACACACTTGTTGCTTTTGTTTCACCTTGGTAGAGGAACAGGCAAGTGCTAGGGGGCCATTTCTGCTAGGCTCTGAGATTGATTGCTACATGGCTGTATGCAGGAGGGAGGAGAATGGGGTGAACCCATAAAAAGGCATAAATAAATGATTGTTGCCCACCTTAGATTCTCAGTAGTTTCAGTGCACATTATGTGCTTCCATTGCACAGTGTTATTTTAATATTTTGTGATTCATTTTAGTGTGACCAAGCACAGTCTTATTCTTTGTCTCTTCTTTATTCTCAAAGCAGACTTTACTAACTGTGGACATGTATTCTTTGATATAACTGTTTTGCATGTTTGTCAGGTTCAAAAACTCCTGATGAGATTTGCATAAGAATTTATGTTTATTTTATTATAATATCAGTATAAATTACTAACTCAGAGAATACTGACAACCTTACAGTGTCAAGTCATTCTATCAATAAGCGTAGTACATCTCTCCATTTATTTGATCATCTTTTATATCCTCCTGAGCTGGAGCAAAGTGGCTCTTGGAAATTCAAGGATATGCCCTTAAAGAAAAGGAGAAAAGTTTGCTCCTTCTTTGCTGCTGATTGGATTGTGCATGGGATTACTGAGTTAGAAACAACCATTTTGGGGTCACACTTTGAGGATGGGGGAATACATGGAGAAGACAGGGTTAGAATAGGCCAGGACTACTCAGCCCATGGAGAGGCATACCAGGCATGGACTGTCTATAGGAAGGAGAAATAAATTTCCCATTCCTTTAAGCCACTCTGAGTTTTGTTGTGCTGCTATTCACAGTCACCTTGATCCTGATTGCCTAAGCTCTAACCTAGTGATTCTCTAAGAGCCCCCCCCCCAGAAGAGTGCTCATAGCATCACCTGGAAAAGTATAACATTCATGAATCTCTCCTACAGAAGCAGGGAGCCTGGGTAGGGCCCCATTATCAGCTTTTAGAAGCCCTCTCCATGATGTGGCATGGGCTCACGTCTGAGACTCAGTGCTCTCACTATTTCTGTCTTATGCGCAACACCCACAACAGGATCTCCCCATGGGAAAACTGCCCACTTTCTTTATGAGCAGAGTGCAGAGATTTCTGGAAGTGAAAGCTGCCACCTGTGTGCTTTGTGTAAGTGAAGCAAGGGCATGAGAAGACCCGTAGCAGTTTACTTGTCCTGAAAGTAGTGATTCATAAGTGGCTGATGATGTACATGGCTCTCTTCTGCTGACCCAATGAATAAGGCAAATTCTAAATCCTTCAAATTTGGCTCATAGGTGACCATTCATGGCTGAATCACAATCAGGCCTTCTGAATCAGATAGCAGCTGATTTATACATTATAAGTAAATTAGAGAGATAGTAGCTAGGTGGGGTGGCACACACCTGTAATCCCAGTACTTGAGAGGCAGAGGCAGAAGGATCCTTGCAAGTTCCAGACCAGCCTGGGCTACAAAATGAGCTCAAGGCCTGCTCAAGGCCAGCCTGAATTGCATAGTGAGACCTTGTCTCAAAAAAAAAAAAATCAAGGAGACAAAGGAAGCTCTTGCAGGGGTGGGGCTTATGATATGTGCAGAGACAAATCTGAATGAAATGAAACTCTTTGGGAAAACAGGGCCAGTGCAAAGTGCTGAGATGGAGCACTCTAGGCACGACCTGCTCTGGGGCCTGATGACTAGAGGAGCAGCCAGGGAACAGCTCAGGAAGGTGCAGTGGTCAGGTCCAGAGCACGCAGGATCATAAGGAGCATGAGTGGGAAGGGGGAGGGCTTCTCACTTTGTGGGTGCAAAGGGCAAAAGTGTTGCAGGACGAAGAGTGAAAAACGGTGCACAGCTTCGGGCCTCCATTGATACAGACAGCAGTGAGGAGGCCCCCTGGAGTTAGAGGCCTAGGAGACTCTGAAGCTGACCCTTCCCAACAGAGCAGACATTGCTAATCACCCTGCTCATCCCGTGAGGCTCTCACTCCCTTCTGTCCCCAGAGGCCCAGACATTCCCTCCCTGCTCTCCCATCCCTACTCTCCCTCATCTCCCAGAGCAAAATTTTGAGGGACATTTTAACTTGTCATTATTTTTTCTGACCCTTTGTTAAATTGGGAGCCTCTACTGACTCATCTAACAAAGATGTAGTGACTCATCCAGTATTTGGAGCAGACTTGGTCAGTTCTTTATTGGAAAGGGGATGCAGTCTGTAATGCGACAAACCTGGGATCCTAGGAAGATGTCGAGGTGAAGGTTTAGGTGGTCACCTGTAATCTCATAGCAGCCCTGGAAAAAACCACGCGTATGGCATTTGTGCCAGCGCCAGGAGACCTGTATGGTGCGGACAGCATTGAGCAAATGACAGTACCGCTGGCGGATGCGCCACATGCGGTACCAGGACTGGAGCCTCACAGCTGCCCATGTTTGCTGTGCATACAACTCCAGCGCTGCCCTCCGCTTCTTCTCCAGCAGCCAGACCAGCTTCTGCCTCCACCAGCACTGGATGGTCCATGCACTGAGGGCAGCATGCAGCAATGTCCTCCTCACCAGCGTGCCCCGCCACCAGGCCTGGATCTTTGTAGCTGGCTTTGTGAGGTCAGGAGATTTCTTCATTTTGAGCAGCAGGGGCCATGCAAGGTAAAGAAATGACATTTAGGACATTCTCCAAAATTTCAACCCCGCGGAGTATCAGTGAAGTTTCCTCATTCTCTGCCAGCAACTGTCTTTTCCCCTGAAGCTTGAGCAACTGGGAGGGCAACAATGAAAGCTAATGACCAGGCAGATACCCTGCCTCTGGCTGCTTCTCTCTGCTGTGTCACTTAATGTGCACACACAACACCCCCACCTCCGAGTCTCAGGGTCCTCGTCCTGAGAGGTGAGCCCTTCTGCCCTTGGTTTTCCATGGACCTGGTTGGCCAGTTTGCAGCAAGAGTCCTCGGATCCATAGGCTGCCCCTGGGTCTCACTACCTACCTACAACTCCTCACCTGCCCTTCAGACCCTCCTACCTATGGGGAAGTGGCATCCTTTGCTCCCCCTGCCCTCTCTTCCCTGACACCACCTCCATCCCCGGCCTGCTCCTCCCTCTGTTAATCCCACTATTAAAAGTGTCTCTGCCCCACACAGCCTGGAGCCTTTCTCACTGATTTCTCACCTTCACTGCTCTTGGTTCCGTGCCTTCAGTGTCTACCAACCCACACACGTGTGCACACGTGTGTACAGGCTCCTGCAGAAATCTGGCCTTGGGATTCCCTTAGCTTGGCCATGCATTCCCCAGCAGTCCTCATGACACCACTCCCCAGATTCCAAACTCCCACTTGTCAGTTTCTCCTCCCCCACCAAATCTGCCTGCCTCAGTTATCTGCCTTACTCCATCTGCTAGAGAGACTGGGGAAGAAGACAGCAAAGCATGAGTCAGTGCCTGCTCATCCAGCCTCGGATAAGGCACCCACTTTTTCTGGTTGGCTGGGAAATTCTTGGTTGCTGGCAGTTGTGCTAATATTTAATAACAATACCTTTCACTCCCAAATATATCCTAGTTTGGATAACAAATTCTATAACCATTTTATGCTACAAGCCAGAAAGAAGACTACCGTAAATCTGGTGACACAGGTCAGAGATATAGACATAGATCTGGTGACATAGACCAGAGGTCATCCCAAATTCTGGGAGTCTGCAGCACCTACCTTTGGTTTTGGTTTTGGTGGTGGTTTTGGTGCTGGTTTTGATTTTGGTGCTGGTTTTGATTTTGGTGCTGGTTTTGGTTTTGGTTCTGGTTTTGGTTTTGGAGTTTTTTCTGCTTGCTTCTTTTGCACCACAATAATTTCCTCAGGATCTTGAAGGACGATATCACATATCTTACCATCTTTCTGTAACCAGAGTTTAAAGGGACAGGTTCATTTTATTACATACTGAACTTCTTTAGTTGACCAGTTTCTCTAGGTATAAGTCTCATGCTCTGATTATCTACAGAAATCTCCCTTCCCAAGCCTGCAAGTTTGAGGGGCAGGCCTGCTCTTACACAAAATTGAATGCCCATGACTTCTAGGTAGATAGCTCAAACCCCTCAGGTCTGTGATCCTCCAAATTGCCCATGATTAGGAGGTAAATGTTTCCATCATGCCCAAGTCTGCACTCCTCCACCTACAAGGTAGCCAAAAGAGTGAGGGAAGGGAAAGACTATGATGTCATAAGAGAACCAATGACATAAGCAAATAGATAATCTCTTAAAGTTGGGTCTTTTTTTTGTGAAAGTTTCCATTCTTTCTGCAAAAATACCCAAAATGTATTGTAATGTACCAAAATACAAAAGAGGTTAACACTAGAGATATTGGTTCACTGGCATAAAAGTGTAGACAAGGTAGTCATTAAGCTCCAAGTGAAAAACCATAACACTGAGACAACTTGAATATGCATCAATAGGAGTTTTTTAAGATTTTTTTTTATTTTAAAGAGAACAAAAGAAAACAGAATGAAACAAAGCAGATTAGAACAGGAAAATGCAAGCAACACAGCACTTCACAACAAAACAACAGGACATCAACAGTAGCTAATATAATGTCTCTTTTCCTTGAAATAATTGAGCGTACCTTCACACACAATAATATCAAACATAACAATATAATATTATAAAATATTCAAATATTTTATAATATTCAAAAGAATGAAAGCATTACAGGACTTCAAAACCAAATAGCAGGAGATAAACAATGGCTGCTATAATACCTCATTTTCCCCAAAAAATCTATAACATCACACATAATAAAATCAAATAAAACACAACAGAATAGAACCAATCATAACAGAAGAACAAAAGCATGATAGGACTTCAAAACAAGATGATAGTAAATCAGCAATAGCTACCATAATGTCTTGTTTTCTTCAAAATAGCATTCATACAATCTCACATAATAAAATCAAACAAAACAAAATAAAATCAGACCAATGAATGAAAGCATTATAAGACTTCAAAACAATATAATAGGAAACCATGATTACCATAATATTTCCCATTATATTCAAAATAACTGCCCTTACCTTCTGAAAGCATAAAATCTAACAAAAGGCAGAACAAAGCCAAATCTAATAAACTTAGTAAACAATGCAAGAGTTCAAGATAATACAATAAGAAACTGACAGTCGTTTCTACCTTTCCCTCTCTTTGCTCTTTTTTTAAAAATTTTGTTTAAAGAAAGACTAAACAAAACAGAAAATGGGTAGAAATAATACATACTTTCAAAGAAAGAATAAACAGTAAGAAATCACTAGTTGATATTTACATATTGTCCCCTTACAAATAGTTATTCAAGATACAAAAATGGAGCATATAACAAACAGCGAGACTGCAACCAGTTCTATTCAACAAAAGATCACTCTGAGCAAAGAATAATAGTATTGCTGGGTTTCACATTATGATACTCCTGGATCAGCACTGGGTACTGTAGTGCCACTTTTTCTTCAAAATATTTGTTCATTTCATCATGTGTCATAAGATCAGTTCTCATAAACTGTTTATTGGTTCTACGCATGGAAGAGTCTTAACATGTATCCTTAACATCTATCCTTTCTATATTAGATGGAAGAACAAAACAAAGCAAGATAAAACAAATCATATTCCTATAAACGCATGAAATGAAAAAGACATATAAGACCACAATATTAGGTGATCTACAGTAGTTACTATGCTTTCTCTTGTTATTTTCAATAGAATTGTCTACATCATCAGACATAATATAATTGAACATAGCATTACATAGCTATTTTAATAAAAACACAATTGTGGAGACATTGTAGGACTTTTAAAGCAGTTAATAATCAAACTGGAATGGGTATCTTTTACATCTTGTCATCTTCAGAGTAGTTGCCTCTACTCTTAGACTTGATACTATCAAGCATACCAAATTCAAATAAAAACAGTCAAGGCAAAACAGTAATCTAACAAACCAGATTCAAATAAGATCAGTCATAGTAAGACAATGTAAATAACACAGGATTTCAGTTTAAGTTAATAGGAAATTAAGGATAGTTATCATGATATAACCTGCTATTTTGGGGATAGCTGTCTGTGCCCTCAAATCTAATATGAGTAGATAGACCGGAACAAAATAAAATCAAACTAAACAGAGTGATAAGACTACTGTGCCTTTTAAATCCTGATACACTATTAACAATGTCCTCTGCTTTCCTTTTGTAGGCTATTTTTCACCTTTCCCCTTCTCAGGATGCTTTGTATACTTTGGATCCCACTAGATCCTTTAGTTTTTAGATTAGGGAGTCAACCCATTATCTATCCGAGTGTTGCTGAACATTTTTACCCCTGAGCTTTAGCTTGAGCTGTACTCATTTACTTACTAAAGCCACAAAGTTTTCCTTCCTTCCCGCTGTGTAGTTCTACACTGCCCAAAAGTGTCATAACTTTCCAATCTATCTGCGGCTACAGGACGAGTTGTCCCTATTTCTCTCTGTTTTCCTGTTACATATAGCATCGTTTTCTCATCTTTGACTTTCAGTTTATTAACCCTCTTTCAGGTTGGGTATATTTCCTATTCAGAGCATCTCAATGGATCCTGCCTCCTAATCTACTCTGCCTGTTTCTTTTTTGTTAGTGTATCAAGGCTATCTATATTGAAGTTTATAGCCTACCTTCTCTGCCTCATCTCTGCTATCTATTTTTCTGCTATTATTTGTCCACTTTGCTCCTTAATTCCACTGTCTGCCCCATGCATTGAGGCCTCTCTGCCACTGTTGCTGGAATCCTGGTATTTTTCTCTCTCTCTCTGTAGGGTTGGATTGGTGGCCATGAATTCCCACAGTTCCTCCTTGTCTTGGAAATATCTTATTTCTCCATTAATTTTGAGGGAGAGTTTTTCTGAATACATCAGTCTGGGTTGGAGGTTATTTTGTTTCAGGGCTTGGACTATTTCCCTCAAGCTCTTCTTGATTTGAGAGTTTGTGTTGACAAGTTTGTCATTTTGATGATTTTTCCTTTGTAGATGATCTGCTTCTTTTCTCTGGCTGCTTTTAATATTCTGTTCTTGTGGTGGATTTCTGGAATCTTGATTATTTATATGCCTGGGTGTAGATCTGTTTTGGCTGTAGGTGGCTGGAGTTCTGTATGCTTCATTCATCCAGATATCATTTCTTTTTCCTATGCTTGGGAAGTTTTTCTTAATTATTTCTCTGAATAGTCTTTGTAATTCATTTGTGGTTACTCCTGCTTCTTTGCTCATATTTTTTATTCTTAAGTTATAGATCTTATTGTTGTCTTCGAGCCTTTGAATTGTTTCTTCCTGGTTCCTTGTTATTTTTAAGAGATCTTTTCTTTCATGATCACACATTATAAATCTCTCTTCAAGTTTCAAAAGGCTAACTTTAGTTTCTGTTGAGGCATTTTGCCAGCTTTCAATGGAGTTTTTAGTTTCCTGGTAATCTCTTTTGATCTGTTTCATGTATTCTAGGTTTTGTTTATATTCTTCATCAAAGGTTTCTCTTCCTTTTCTGGGTTCCTCCATTCTTCTATCTGTGTTTTCTTGGGAGGAGCTTAGCATTTCTTTAATTATTCTTTTTATATCTTGCCTCACTTGGATTAGAATTTCAGTTTTAAGTTCATCTGTGAGGTTACGAAGGTATTTCTTTATGTCCGCTGAGGTTGTGGCTAATATTGCATGATTGCTGCACTGGTTCTCTTCTGTGTTTACCTTTCCTGGGATTATTTTCCCAGGATCAGCAGCTGGAGGTTTTTTAAAATTTCTGTCTCTTGTCATGTTTCTGCTATCTTTCAGACAGGTGTGTTGTGCAGGTCCCTGGCCTTCTCTGTATTGCTTATGGTTTTTCTGAAGTGTGTTGACCGGAGTTTTGCTGCCCTCTCCAATTTGCTGTTATCTGAGGTGCACGCAGGGACAATGCAGGTTAGCCTCTAGCCTCTGAGCCAGTCAACCCACAAGTGCCTTCTGCAACTTAGCCTGTGCTTTGTGGATGTCACAGGGCCGGGACAGTTTCATCCTTGGCTATTGGATCCTAACCAGGGGTGTGGCTCAGCCCAAGCAGATTCCACCAATCCTCTCTGGGCCAAGGGCAGCTGACTGATGCCACCGCGGCTCCAGGCTCTGCCCCACTCCAAGATGTCCTCCAGCCAGCGACACCCACCATGGGACCCAGTCTCCAAGCACTCACCGGGAATCAATGTAGCTCTTCACCTTGGCTCCACTCCATGCTGTATCGCATCCTCCCACCAAGGGCCTGGGACTTACCAATTCCCGTTATCACTGGCCATGGCTTCAGCAGGACCTTGAGTCACCCCACTCTATGGCGCTCCCAGTACAGCACAGATTGGTCTCAGTGAGTGCATCAGGCTCCAGCCCTCTACTCATGTTTTTCCTTCCTCTTCATATTTTTGTTTTTCCTTCAGTTTCCTACTGGGGTTATGAGAGTCCCTCCATGCTCATCTGGCCCTCTCCATGTTGTCAAATTCTAGCATCTGAGCTGTTTTTCCTGAGAGGCTCTTCACCCAATGACCTAGCAAGCCACCATCTCCATCAATAGGAATTTGATACATGGATTTCAGTTCAGTCAAACAGTGGAACCAAGTAATGAGAAAGAATTTATGAAAAAAGATTCAACAGGTGCTAGCAAAAGGAGATTTGTTAATGGTTTAGAAACAGAAGAAAAGATGCTCAACATCATCAGTCATGAAGAAACTGAAAATTAGACCACAGTGATGTAGCCTTAGGCATCCTGAAGAATGGCTGAAATAAGCAGCATGATTGCATTAAGTGTTGGCAAGAACACAGAGTAGCAGCAACTCTCTTGTCCTGCTGGTAGTGCAAGTCAAACAGTAGACTCACTGTACAAAGTGGCTTGGCAGTTTCTAGTAGAGATAAATATGCTTCAGCCCTATAACTCATCAGTTCCCCTTCTAGGTACTTACTTTGACCAATTTGTCAACAGTGTAAACAACTTAAATGTCACAAACAGATGACTAGGATGACAGTACACTCTTCATATAATCAAATAATACTCAGCAGGAAGGGTAACACCCTAGTATACAGAATAATTTAGATGAATTTCAAAAATATTATACTAAATGAGGCAAGTCAGGCATAAAAGGATAGCTGCTAGATGACTCTATATACATAAAATGCTAAACAAGTAAAACTATTCTACAAGTAA